GTATCATCTATGAGCAAATGTATATCAACTTTACCTTTTTATAGAATTCATATTTTATTATTGCAATTATTTAAGCATTTAAAATTAATGAATTTTCTAACATAATTCTGGACATTTCTATCAAAAACTGGAGCAAAACAATTAAAGTTGTGAATTATAATAAGATTCTTAACTTAATTAGAGGAATTAGTTTTGTCAATGCCTCTAATATTCCAAATCAAGAATTTAAACATTGGGCAGAGATTTACTTCCTCTCATAATTTTAGTGGGGATCTATCATCCAGTTTTGCTAAAATGCCAGCTGAATAATCACCCTTATCTAGGGTAACTCCTTTGGTATTAACATACTTCAGTTCTCTAATTCCTTTATTCTTCTATTTTTCTTAAGTTTTTGTATTATCCACTTTTCTTCTAACTCTTTCCTTGCTTATGTCAAATATTCCTCATAATGAGTTTGTTTTCAGATTTCATATTCAAGATTAACATTCAATAATGTCGATGGTAGTGCTACACCCCCCTTTATTAACACTTCATTGTTAAGATTTTCCTACTCACTAGCTTCATGAGTTTGTTCCTCTAATTGACATGTTAGAATGTTTGTTTGATTATGTTGATATTCATGGCAACGTTTTAACCAATTTGTTGTTAATTGTTACACTAGCTTTCTAGTTGTATCTACCTCACCTCCTTGTTTGGATTATCACTAAGTTTCTTTGATTGCTCACATTTACACCTGTAGCCTTCCTTAATTTAGGATGGGCAATATAACAGTTATCTAGAGTGTAATCAAACATTATGCATCTATTACAATATAAATGTTTTTATTCCACCGCTACTTGTTGCCAATACTCATTAGTAGGTGATCCAATCTAAATTTTCTCTGCAACACGTATTGTAATGTCCCTTTCACCAAAACTCTAGCCACTGAGGTTTACTAAAATTAAATGTGGGCATATTTAACTTCATGGTTCTACCAAATATTGCTCTCAATGAATAAAGGACTTGTTTGTTAAGCAGATGCAATCTTAAACCAAAAGGATTAAACTAGATTGGCACAATTAAGGGTTCTAAGCTAGGATCGAAGGAGCAAGTCATTTTTAACACGTTCATTGAGAAGTTTTCAATGCAAAAAATTTTCCTTGAGAAGATGTGAGCATAGTCCTCTTCTCTACCCAATTTAATCACAATATGTCTTCCACTAAGCAACCTTACTTTGCCACCAATTTTCATCCCCCCAAGAGTTTGAAGTCACCAAAATATTGATAGATAATGTCCATCTTTGGATTATAGGTAAGTTTTTCAACCACTGTAAAATGAAAAGGTTCAACTAAAACTAGTGCTTGAGACTCTAAATACATTGAAGGTGGCTTCCCAAATCTTTTTAATTGCCTTATTAAGAAAATTTTTATTTCCCCCTTTCTCAAATTTGGCATGATAAAATTGAGGGAAAATCAGGTTGATGTTGTTAGTTGGTAGAGGCATTTCTAGCTTAACATCACAAAGGATTGCTTCTCTATAAAGTTATCGATGGTCAAACACTAGAACAATGATTTTAACTAGGAATAACCATAAAACCTAAAGGGAGGGAAGTAAACATAATTCAAAGCACTTCATGTTTAAGCCTGAACCCTTTTTGCTACCTTGATATCATTAATAAAGCGCCCTCCAAATTATTACATTATTTACTTATTTAAATTTGTTTACTTATTTAAATAAGGAATCAGTTTGTTGAAAATGTAATGCAATGTAAAAGGAATGAAATATAAAAGTAATATACTATATTTGGAATACCTTCGAGTTGTATGAATTGTTATAAAATAATTATAGAAATATATAATTTTTATTTAATTTGACGAAATATGAAAATAATATAAAATATGGTGGCTGTGACGAGCGACGGTGGGTGGCTGGCAGACGAACAATGATATGCAATAAAGACAGATGAGTGGCTGGTGGGGTGACTGCAGAAGTCAGTGGTGGTAGTGGGTGGGCAGCGGCAATGTCGATGTTTGTGGATGGCAATCGACAAGTGGCGGCTATGAGCAGTCGATTGTGGTGATAGGGTGTTAGCGATTATTGACGACACTTTACATAATGTAGTATACTTGAAATTCACCCAAATCCAACCAATCTCAAATATTTTAAAATGAACTAAAACTTGAAATCTAAATGTGTTTCTATTTTACACTACATTTAAAATTCTTTCAACCGAACACTTGGATTTTCAAAACCTCTACAAAAAGAATGCCCAAACATAAGTTAAGACTATAATTCAACACATACTTTAAAAATATAGCAAAAGATTAAAAAGAAAAGTTTGAAATTCTCTACATATATCATTCTTTTAAGGTCCATTGTGTCCATCCAATTTTGCCCAAGGATGTCTTTGATTCTCCTCTTCACTCCACATCACTAATCATGAAAAGATTAAATGCCAAGTCATCTTCATGAAAGTAATCATAGTTTTCATAGCTCATATTTGAAATAAACGGCATTAGATGGAGCACAGAGAAGACTAAGGCCACTTACTCTTCCATGCATCATTATAGCTGCAAAGTCAACCAAGAAATAAAATTATTCCATTTCTCACAGTAATTCCTTTAAGTGCTCATAGTGCTCTTTCATTGATCTCTTAATTTCTACAACAATAATAGGCCTTTGACGTATACCAAAGTCACTCATTTTAATGGATTTTTTTGCTCAATCTGATACTGCAGAAAATAAATAAATAAAATTAAGAAAATTAAAAGGAACACAGTTTTAATGGAATGATTTAGTTTGTTGTAACCCACAATAGATTTTATTTGTTGAAAAAAGTATTGTTTATGCAGCCTTGTATCTTTTATTTGTCGATTATATTTCAAATGTTAATTAGTATGTGAGTGAATCGAGTCGGCTCGAGTTTTGCTCGTTATTCAACTAGCTAGTCGACTCGTTCGAGCATTAGGTTTAACGGGCTCATCCGGCTGGATAAATTTCATGTGCTATGTTTAACGAGTTCATCTTTAAACGAGCTGCTTCAATACTTATCAAGCCACCATTAATTTAACTATGTAATTGTTGAGTCGAGTTTGTCTGCTAACCTTCTATTGACTTCAACTCAACTGGACTGGCTCGATTGGATAGACTTAGTCAATCGACTAATCTGGTCAGACTGCCGACCTTTGATATCTAGCGAGAAGCTCCTATTAGTTGAGCGACGCTAGGTTATCAAGCAGAGGGTGAACCACCGTAATTTGATCTGTAGCTCACTCCCCAACATTAATATAAAATAATTTTTCAAATAAGAAAAAGGCCATAGGTATTAGTGTGAAAATATGAACCCTGGCTTTGTAAATTTTAAGTTAGGTAAGAGTCCACTATTCATAAATTTGGTAACTTGTAACTTCACCATCTTGAAATCAAGCTCCAACAAATTTTTGTCCTGATATGGATAGGCTCCCGCATGGCTATTGGCTATTGCTATCATCCACGTCATGAAATGCACAGTCAGCAATACGAGCGTGGCATTATAATTATTATGAGCATTACAGTTTCTAAATTCCAAATGAAATGATGATTCATATCAACATCACCATTTTCATTAACACGGCTACACACACACACACACATATATATATATATATAT